AGTGGCACGCACCCTCCAGTAACATCAACATCACCGTGCTGATGCTGATGCTACATTCCTTCACTCATGACTCCGTATGTTGTGTCATTTAAAATTTTTTGCTCGGGGCTAATGCACGCTAATGACGTGAAACAAACTGTTCAAACTGATCTTGAACCGAACGGTCTCAGTGGAAGGGACAGGAGAGAAGATTAAACTGAATGGCTCTGGATCGCCCATCCATCAATTACATGGGACCTGGCAAAATAGATTGGAAGAATATTGCCAATGGTCAGCAGTGTGGGCTTAAAATAACACACATTAGTCAAACATGTCTCAAGGACACACAATAAAATCAACTCGATGTGAAGGAGTGAATCATGAATACAGCATACTACCATCCACAAAAAAACAGTGTATATACATGTATGTTTCTCTAAATATCCGCACAGCTGGTTTATAGATTATCTTTAGTGCTATGCAGGTACAATTATGTGATTTTGTCAATGTTTTCAATGTGTATCCTCCTTTACCTAATTACTTACAGTATATCTACAGTAAGAACTGACAAGAGCTGAAACAGTCGATCTTATGGTGTCCTGTGGAGTTTTCTTTTTATACAACAAAAATGATGTTTGGAGTTTCTTAAAATCCAAGCTCCTAAAATGTAAATATATGTTGGATTTCTTCAATTTATAAATTACAAAACTGAATATCTGAATATATAATAGCTGAATATTTGTGTTTTGGACTGTTGGTCAGTGTTAATTGATAACCAGGGATGTTTCAATTACATCGTCAGCAGGATCCTGAACCCAAAAGCCACCAGGATGCTCCCCTTTCTATTGCCACTGTTATTTTAAAAAATAAAATGCTGTTGGAATAAAAGACGTTTTTTGTTGTGAGGATGTGGAGACGGACAAGGAGAGGCAAAATCTGAAAAAAAAAAAATCTGTTATGTTTGGCTGTGAGCCAAATGTAAGTTGCCATGGAGAAAGTCCCATGGTTACGGTCTTTTAGAGAATTCATACTCTCCAAAGGTATTGTGTTACTGTGGGTTATTTTTAGGCTACAGCACTGGACGAAAGCACAAAGTCTGTCCATTTTATAGCCTTGAAAAAAAATCAATAACATGCTGTAAAATCAGGAAAATAAGTACTAAATACAAAAAATACGGAGAGTTTGCAAATTAAGCTTTTATTTCTATCATATAAGAACAGTCAGGTCCTACACTACACTATAATCTGAAGTCAGGATCAATGGTAACACGATATAACAAAAGAAAAAGGGAAGAAATATGAGTTTCCTCATCACAACCTTCTCTTTCTTCAAAATCCAGCAGTATGATTGTTACGAAAAAAAAAAAATTAAACCACCCTCCTTTGATCTGCGGCACCATTCTCCCTCATACACTGAAGTTTTTGTGGAGGCGATAGCTCTGGATGATAACTACAACACTTTGCAGGTTCAGGCAGGATCAGAAGATTAGAGATCATGTTTCTGCTGAGGTCTGGCAGCAGACAGATCAGTTCTGGACAGCTGAGCAGAGGAGGAGCAATGCTAGCCCTGCGCTAAGTAGTAGCCTGCTATTCACAGGAGAGCTGTGCTGAGCTATTCAGAGATCACTCCCTTTTCATGTAAGTCAGTTTCTCCCAAAACAAGACTTTAGTTATTACTGAACAATTTATTACCTCAAGACATAAGTCACCCGCCAGGAAACAATACAAAATAATAAAATGTGGCTCTTTATCCTTTATAGACATATTCATTTAGCTCCTGCCCAATCAAGCCCCCCGTGGCTGTGCTGTGAAAGCTTACTACCCGACATATCACTCGCCACGTCTGATAAACCTACTGCTACATGGAGACTATGTAAAGCTTAGGAAAGCAATTAAGGCTGCGGCTCAAAATACACAGGGGGGAGTCTCTCTTCTCGTCATTGTTGCTCCTCTGACAAGCGGCGACAGTTACTGTGATGTGGATGGCTGAGCTTGAATTTATGAAATATTCATTTTAACACAGAGGGAAGGTGTGTGGGGGGTGGTCTATGTATAATTTATAACATCTGTATTTATGTTGGACTATGTGCTTTTTTTGGGCTATACCTCCAGTTTCCATTTTCTTAAAGTGGTGATGATTGAAGTGGTCTGTCTGAGGTGGAAATTTCAGTGTTGTTGATGCACGGTTGCACACAGGAAGACGTATGGCAATCACTGGTAATGCACCCAGACCTAATTGTGATAAATTTGAGGCCGGGTGGATTGAGTGGATGTGGCACAACGAGACCAGAGAGATGAGGTGAGTGTGAGGACGTGGAGAAATGATTGAAGGATGGAGAGAGAACGGCAGGATTAAATGGAGCTGCGTAGGAGCCCCTCCTCCAGTCCACATCCCTTTTCCCCAGCTACACCCCCTCCTCAAAGGAGGATAGGTTATGGTAATTTTAAAGGGGTAAAATAAGGGCACAGCCACAAAAAAAAAACACAATGTTCTCCCAATTTGGACAAGCAGTGGCACCGTGAGGCACCACTCACCCCGTCCTTAGTTCACAGATTGTGTTTTTTTAGTCGTTTGATGGGGCAAACTAAGTGGTATTATTATAAATCCATGAGGCAGACGGAGGGACAAGGAGTGTGTCTGTACACTGACAGTCCTGGCACCGTGGTCCCGACTGGCATAAGGCAGTGTGGTGTGCCAGGTGCTGATAAGGGGATTGCTTGGCACAGCAGATCAGACTCAGGCTGGGATGTTTGTTCGAGTAACAGCAGGATAGATACAGGAGTCAATTCTGCTGCTACACCACTATTTGATTTTGTGTGTCCGTGAGCGCATGTAGCGTGCACGTGCCTATGTGTGAGAAGCGCATACTGCATTACCTGGACTTAACACTGACAGAGGGCAAGATTAAATATGTCTGCTCCGACACCTGCGCCGGGGCTGTTATGTTTGTTTTGGTGGAAAAGCTGCTGCACCTCTGGGCTTCCCCTTCATTATCAAAGCCTGCTTATCCTGGGAGATACCAGATAGGATTCTCCTGAGGGAAAGGTGGAAGGAACACCCGTCTGGCGTGTCTGTGGGAAGAGCCCGCAAAGGGTCATGCAGATCAATACAAAGGTCAACCAATCAATCAGCTACAGAAGTCAATTTGGCTGGAAAAAAACCCTTTCATGTCCGAGGGCTTGGAGATACCCCTTGAGAAGGACATGAAACGTGGTGTGGAGGAATCTGCCCACATGACTCTAATGTAGTAACAGTTTGGGGAAAACGTATATGTGTTGATCACATGGCTCCCAGGTGTAGGATCTAGGGCTTTCATGTGCCCTGAAGATGTGCACACTCTCTCTACACAAACGCACCAACACAGTGTTGACAGACTGACATTGTTGCTGCCTCGAAGCATCCCGGCGATTTGCATAGCGTGTCCTTAATTTGACAGCCAGCGAGAGCGGCACACAGCGTTTTATAAACCGATCTCTCCATCTGTCAAAGTCATAAAGTTTTGCTCTGCACGTTGCTCCCGACACATGTCAGCGAATGCAACATAATTGCACCAAGATACTGGCATCCTCGCTTGAAGGTGTCATCCAATGTGTGATGGGCTTACCAACGGCTGAATACAGAGGCAGACACACAGTGATCAATGTTCAGTGGCCCATTTAAAACATGTCCAGCTGAAGGAAAAACTGATATACTGGTCACCGGGCAACAAGATAAATACAACTTCCAGTATGATAAAAATGCTTCATATTAGGGCTGAATTAATTATTGTTATTTTCTTTTATCTTGTTGATTCTTGTTTTGATTAACTGTTTAGTCTGTAAAATAAAAACTTCAATAATAAAAAAACATAATCAATTTACAATGACAACAAAGTGAAAACACAGAAGAAAATCCCCATATCAATAATCCTTTATCCTTTATAGGATACAGGAAAGCTGTAAAATGGTTGCATACCCAACTGAACCATGCAATGAAGTGAATAGTAAGTGGTGGAGCGAATTAACCATAGTGTTTGCTCCTCTTGGGATGTTTCTTGTCATGTTGAAGTGTCTTTGAACAAGACACTGAACCCCAAAATGTTCCTTATGTGTATATGTAAGAAAAGAATGGAAGCCAAACTCTACATCCATATGGGCCGCATTGGGTTATCTAGGCAGGGCTAACTCACTAGTTAAATTACAATGTAATGCATTAAAAAACAATACCCAGCTATTTATTCCTATTCCTATTTTCACAGCCCACAGACAACAGAGAGGAACAAAGGGTTAAATCAGCGTTAATGACCAACCGAAAACTAATTTGGCCTAATGATGATTTAAGGACAAATCTGCAATTGTTTTTTAGATAAAAGCATCTATGCTCCTGCCCAAATCCCTGAAATATCTCAAGTTATAAATCTGAGATCCACTCATCCCGTCTCATAACTTTTACAAGAGCTGTGTGGGTGAAAACTCAGACAGAGAATGAGAAGAGGCAGAGACCGTCTCCCAGAGAGACAATGAATAACGCTAATAATACAAGATTATAGCAGCTACAAAAATACCCCAGTGCTTGTGTAACTTGTATGAAAATTTGAATAGTCAGAGTTTTTCTAGTCTCTGAGGTTATTCAGATGCAGAACAAGGGCTGGTGAATTGCAATGAGAACACGACTGGGGCCATGACACCACAACACCCTCATGATCTTGTTTCATGGCCCTAATCAGATAATAGTTGTTGATGACTGGCAATCAGTGGTATTCACAATGACAGATGTTTGTGAATAGAGACTCTTTCATAATCACCAACTACTTAAAAAAAAGGATATTTGCCAATTCGGATCTAGATTGGATCTAGATTCAAGGCAAAATCAGGGAAATGTAATTAATTACTGACAACAGGGGCTTTCTCAGCAGATGTGCCATTTCAAAAATTATTAATTTGCTATTGGATCAGAGCAAAACTGCATCAGTAATTTACAATTTGAAGCCAGAACATCGGTACCTGAGATCTTAAGACACCCTGAGGAAGTCGGACTCTCACCTTCTGGAGGAAGAGGACGATTCTTTGGACCATTTCGACTCTCTGCTCCTCCAGGCTGAAGAGGGTGCGCGGTGTGCGAATGAAGACCTTGGTTTTGCCGTAAGCCACGTCATGGTCAAATCCACAGCCCTGCATGAGCCTCTTCACTGCATCTTTGTCCGATGGCAAGTCATGGTTTGGCCACGTAAACTCAGAGATCATCTTGTACCTGAAGGAAGGACAAAGTGGTCGTATGAGAAAATGCAAAAGTGTAAAGCTAAACAAAATGTAAAATGGTCAATTAAAATCTAGATTAATGCAGGAAGGAGCATCAAGTAGGATCTGGATATCTGAACTGTATATACAGAAACAGCAACTTCCTTCACACAGCAAAATTGTTAAACAGCCTCTCAATATATTTTGAATCAACCTCGTCGTTATATGAATGACTATCGGCCAAACATATAAGTTTTTTTCATCCATGCTAGCAGTGTTGTTGTTAGATGGCTTGGCAATTTCTATACGGAGAATCGCGTTCCTGCCAGGATGAATTCTATTACCTTTGGTGAGCCTTAATTTGCTACACCCATCATAAGGTCAAAATTTCTATTTTGGTTTAAATACCTGCAGTCTGATGTAATGTCGTTCCCCTCAGCCTCAGTTAATCTTTGTGATAATTAGTGTATTTTAGCATGCTAATTAAAGATGCTTAACTGAGATGGTGAACAGGAAACATTGTATCTGCTAAACGTCAACATGTTAGTATTGTGAATTTTAGAATTGTAGTATTCTGACCTGATTCTGACGTTAGCATTTCGCTCAGCCAAGTACAGCCTCACACAGCTGCTAACATGGCTGTAGACTATTCGTCTCCTTTTTACTCAAGTTTTATTGGTTTTCATTATTAGTTCAATACAAAATGAAGTGAGGAAGAAATCATATAACTCTTGATTCAGACTCATTTCTTAGATTTATTGTAACTGAATCATTTGTGTGTGTCCTGCGTGCTTGTTTAAAACTCATTTCTTTGGTCGGGGAAAAACATGCATCTCTTTCTTCAGGCCATATTATATCCAAAGAAGGAAAAAAAGTGGAGCTCGGAATACTGTATAGTGCTGTATAAATCTTAATAAGTAAGTGTGGGACTCAGCCCCTGGCATGGTGCCATGGAAATTATATCATTTAGTACATGGACAAAGGAATTAATTATTACAACCCAGCGCAGGGGGTAAGTGGTCAAATCGCACTCTTGAAGTCTTTCCAGTGCTATAGTAAGGAACCTTAAAGGCAAGTTTTAAAGGCCTTAATTTCTTTTCTCAACCATCAACTTTATGGCTTTTTAAAGGCCTTTGAAGCCTCTTGGAAGAATCATAGAACCGAGACTAAATTCAATCATAAACTGATGAATTTAAACTTTATGTTCAGCTTGATGGATGGTCACCAGAGTCGAGTTTGTCCTGACAGCTCAGGCTGCTGTCGCACTAAAACTCCCTCCAGTGCTGATCTGCAAGTCAACAAATATAAGGCTCTTGAGATTTGAGTGGGTTGTTTTGAGACTGAGAAACACACCACTGGAGGGGGAAAGGATATCGCTGATAGAGAATAATGCATTTTCAAACAGCAGACAGTTTAATGACCATGAATTGCATTTATATATATATATATTGTTTTTTGTTTATTGTTTACATGTGTATATTTATATATTTATTAGTGTGTATAAAATAAGGCTGCAACTAACTATGCTTTTTCTCATTGATAAATCTGCCGATTATTCAAGAAAAGTTGATTGGAGGGCAACTGGAACTTGGTTGTAGATACTACCTCTGATCCAAGAGGCTTCTTTAGTTCTGTTCTTTTCTCATTTATTTATTCTATAAAACATCAGAAAACATGGAAAATGCTCAACATAATATACTTGAGGGCTAGGTGTCGTTATTAAATGCCCATTAAAGAGTCCAAAACTCAAAAACATTCAATATATTATAATGTGAAACCATGAAAAACAGGGAATTTTCACAAGAAGCTCTATCTATTAAATGTTTGGCATTTTTTCTTGATGAATGGCTTAAACAATTAATTGCTTTTTGAAATAGTTGGTGACTAATAATCTATTAATTGACTAATCACTGCAGCTGTAGTTTTAAGAACCTTTTTCACTATAGAGAAACTACTTTCACTTATCAACTTGAATGATAATGGAGATTATAAGGTGATTCCGAGACAGCAGTGACTCTCTCTGTCCTCCAAAGATCCCAGTGTTCATCGACAGACGGCATCCTGTATCATTTCACAGCCGACCAACTGGCAACGCTGTGATGTAATGCTGAGTCCAAAGACATCAGTGAGGGGGACTGGAGTGACAGAGTTGGATGACTTGTTATGCAAAAGACTCATTACCTAATCCTCCATCCACTGCGATGGTTTCTAAGGGCAGTGGGCAAATGTGACAGCTGGGGAACAAGGGCAAGGCTACAACAAGTGTTTGTGTACTATTTGGGAGTGTTTAGAGCGATGAAAGTGTGTGTATGTGTGTTCTGATGTTTCCGTGTCAATATTATTTTGCTCTTTGGGTCAAACTGTGAAGAGATATTTGGTGACTTAGAGGCTTGTAGCAAAAAATACCCTAAATCAGAGCCAGCCTGTCAGGCTTAGGATCTAATCTGTTACACAATGAGAATAACACGTGTGCTAGTGCTGTATGTGAGTGAAGCTTTCTGGGTCTTTTCAGATGTGACAAACTTGAAGTAGCGACATCACTGCTGCTGCATCGCTCCCACTCGTTCTCCCAAGGAAACATGAGGTGACTTCAGGATGCAGTTCTGTCCACTGCTATTCTCTGAAGTCCAGCTATGATGTGACTGACATCAGCCTCGACTCTCTTATGTCTCTTTAAATAACTGTATTTTCTTTGACTTGCCTCTTTGTAGGGTTAGGGTTATGAAAAGTGTTGATGCTATATTTATCCTTTGTTTTTCATGCATGTGAAGAAGCACCATGTCCATGAAATGTGCTATACAAATAACCTGTGTATTAAAGTTTATACATTACAAGATACTTCTATGATTTGTGTAGTTGTTTATAGTTGTTATTGATTTTATTCCTGGCTGAATTATATGTAAATATAAAGCACAGTGAGCTGGAGAAGAGTCTGAAACTCACCATGTGTGCTTCCTGAAAGTTAGAAGTCTTTAATAACAGAATTTAAGGGAACCTTATCAAAATGTTTATTGAAATTATGTGTTTATGTAAATGAACAAATATTGGCTGATATTATCAGTATTTGTCTAGAAAAATTGAGTACTGAGTACTCTGCTTGCACGCTAATTAATGCTAATTGGCATGTAAACAGACTTGTATTGTCAGGTGTTTGAGCATCTGCAATGAATAAAACATGAGTTATTAACTCAGGTCATCGACTGGTAGTTGTTTGTTACATTACCACATTACAACAGCGCAGTTTTCCAGCATATTAAAATGTTTTACATCAACATCTCACTCCAGTAATTACAAACCAATCTGAGTGTTTTAATGCTGCTTTTAATCAAGGTCAGAGGACAAAACTATTATGCTTGTAGGAAACTAGCAAAACTACTGTGGATACAATTTGATGGTACAGGGGTTATACTGTAATGGCTGCTGGAGATGCAACTGATTAGCTGCAAGATTAGATTAGATGAAAACTGATTAGAGCTACACAACACACATCCACACCCCACAGTTAGGGCTTGTCATGTAGGATCCTTGACAGCTGACTGACTGACTGACGCCCAGCTTCAGGGAGGAGGTGTTATTCAGTCACTTCTACCAAGACCTTAAAGCCAGTCCAACCTTCAAATCACAACCCTGCTTCAGCAGCGCTCAGTCTACAGCAACACCTTTATCCCTTTATTTTTCTTTATTCTTTCCCCTATCGCTTTAACTATTCCTTCAAGGGCCTTTCTGCCCAGGCTAAGCAGTGAAATACTGTACACATGGACAACAGGAAGTAGGCAGGACCCATACAACTTTACTACTCTACAGATACGACACAAAACAGCAATTACTTCATTTAAAAAATGTTTTTTTTTTTAATCTCAATTCAAGAGGAAAAAAAGAGAAGAGAAGATCCCCCGTCCACTGAACAGTCACAGTTCATCTGGAGCATCTGAAGAGCCTGGCCAGCCAGCCTCTCCTCCTCTTGGGCGTCTTGTCCATCATCTCCTTCACTCGGCTCTCCAGGTCGTCCAACTTTGAGGCCATGTCGGCCTCCCATTCTCGCTCCACCTGCTGGCTCTCCGTGAGGGACTCCTGGAGCCTCTCCATTTCCTTCTGCAGAGAAGCCATCACCTCTTGCCACTGCTCCAGGTTAATCCTCACCTTCTCCTCAAGTGACTTACGGACTGCTGTGACTTCTGCATTCACCTTTTTTAACTGCTCTATCTGAGTATCATGGGAAGCCGCCTGCTGTAGGTCTTTCTCCAGCTGCCCAACTTTGGATTGTGCCTCCACCAGAGCCACGTTCTTTTTTTGAAGCTCAGCCCTCAGCTCCAGGGTCACTGTGTTATTCTTCAGTCTCAGGACCTCTGCAACTCTGAGTCGTTCTTTGAGCTGTGCGATTTCAGACTGAAGAACTTCTTTCTTCAGTACGTCAGAAGCCCGGACCTTCTCAAGCTGATCTCCGGCGGCCTCCTGAGAGTTGTCAGCCCCGGTCTGGAGTGCGGTCCTGCTCTGCTCCGCAGGCTGGGTTGCCTTTGTGCCCTGACTTGAAGCACAAACACTGGTCACATTTGTGGCAGTGCTGGCGTCTTGTGGCCTCTGCTCAGTCGTGTCCGTTTTGATATCAAGACTGACCACTTCATTTTTAGATTTGAGCAGGTGATGACGTGCCTCTTCCAGCTTGATCTTTAGCTCTGTGTTGGTCTTACATGCAGCTGCTAATTTACACTTAGCCTGGTGCTGCTTGTGTTGGGAATGCAGACGCTGATCTTTAAGGCGAGCATTTTCTCTCATGACCTTCTGTAATTTGTCCTCCTGGACAATGCTGTTGCTCGTTGTGGCCAAAGGTTCCTGCATTTGCTGGCCCTGCAAATTTCTTCCCTTTCCCCTTCTTCCCTTTTTTGTTTTTTGTCGTTTCCTGTTTCGCCGTGTATTCATCATTGCGCTGAAATACTGACTGAAGAGACAGAAGTGTGCACCACTTGTAGAGGCTCAATATTCCATCTGAGAACTGTTGTCTTTGTTGTTGTTTTATTTTTTTTGTAATTCCCTTTTTATTGCTTTTCAAAAAAAATGGAACAAAGACATAAATAGAAGAGGTAACTATAACAACATAACAATAATAAGAACAATAAAACTATGAACACCAAAACAAAGAAAAACATGTATAAATAAATAAATAACCACCATTACTGCAGCATAAGAGGTAAATATAATTATCACTGCTATATCAAAATGACAGTAACAATTAGTACTGGCCAGGGCCAGTGTAGCTAAGCACATGTTTGTTTATTTTTAAATAAAATCAGAGTTGCACAGTAAATTAAAAAAGGATCATGTTTTTTCGTATATATTAAATTATCTATATGAAGATCGACTCTTTCAGATAAGAATACAAAAGAGTTGGCTTTGACACATGTTTGTGCCTCATGTATAATCATTGCGTTTCTATATTTTCTATATTTTAGGCTTCAGAATTCTTGATTACATTATATTATATCACATACATACACATACATGTGATCAATGCCAAATATTCCTATGTAAAAATAAAGTTTTGGAGGTTCATTTAAGTTGAAGAAGCAGGGAGGTTGTGACATTTACATATGAGGAAGTAAAAATACTTTAAATTTAAAACTGTATGTTACCTGCTCAGTACTCAGTACAGTAAAGACACATGAGGAAGGGGAGCTCCATTATTTACCATACTGACCTTTCATTGTAAACCTACACAGCACAGTTTGTCTGTATTGTTTATTCAAACCAACAGCAACAACTCTATTCATCTATTGAGAAACTTTTGTCACAACAAGCTGAACCACAATTCAAATAAATGAATAAATGATATTAAAAAGAATATTGTACTTTATAAATTGCAAATGCATGCAAAATTATGTACATAAAATAATCACATTAATGTTTAATGCAAATAACTGTGTTCCACTATTATGTATTACATTAGAGAAACAGCTCCTCATATTAGTAAAAACCCCATGTTGTTATAATTTGCTTGGATTCATTAATTTGGAAAACAAAATGTCCTAAAATTATATCACTGTGATTAATAAATTGTGTCTCTTTTCATGTACATGTTTGCAATACTTCACTGTCTGTAGGTCTGTGGTTGAATCTGTGTGTTGTCAGCAATTATGTAGAATGACAAGGCCATTTATTTGCTGCATTGGTTATTAAAGCCGTCTGCCATCTAGCAACAGAAAGAATGGGAAGAGGCCTCGGCCACTAAATTGTGGAGCAGAGGTAAATCCTCTATTTCAAGCAGAAAATACGAACCTGAAGTGGCTCAGCATGAGTGGAGCGAGATATGGAAGGAAGGAAGGAAGGAAGGAAGGAAGGAATGAAGGAAGGAGGATAGCAGGGGAACAGGAAATGAGAGTGAGAGAAGAGGAATGAGAAAGGGGGAGAAGAAGTTTCTAGACAGCGAGGAAGAGGAAAATGAAGAAAAAGTTTTATATAATGCATTTAAAGGAATTAATAGCTGGGGGGGGGGGTACGAAGAGGCAACAGAGAGAAAAACACTGACATATGGGAGGGAGAAAGGAAAAGGAGGATGGTGTAGAAAGAGGAAAGAGGGAAGAGTAAAAGGAAGTGGAGGAAATGGTTGACGTGGTGAGGGGACAGAGATGAAGATTTGAAGGTGGCGTATTGAAAGGATGAAGAAGAAAGAGGGAAGGGAGGGTTGAGGTGGAAAGAAGAAAACAGATAGGAAAATTAAAGCTGAAGAAAAGAAGAGGCCTGAAGAGCAGCAAGAGAGGGATGAAAACAAATTGAATGGTCTAGAGAGAGAGGTGCAGGAAATAAGAGTAATCGACAGCCGAGTGAAAATGCTTGATGTTTATTAAGTCTTGGATAAATGGGATATTGCAGCATCAGGTTGGACAATAAAGCTTAACATAAAAAATAAAGAGACGGTTTCTCTAAAGGATTAACAGCACTCTGAAGTCATTTACGATCACTCCCTGAAGACTTCATTATTCCAATTAATGGGCCCCTCCGCTACTTGAACTGACCGTCAAAATTAGTGGCAAGGAACCTTTAAGTGAAATGGATGAACTGCCGCAGCTTCACCGGCTAATTGGTAGCCACAATAAAGACATTCAGCCGAAGAAGAAGACGAAAAATGAGGCTGTAAGAAAAATGGCAGCACCGACTACCGTCTAATCTGAGATGCACTACGGGTATTTCTTACTATCCTGACTTGGGATAGGACGTGTTGGCGTGTGTCACCATATCTATGGGTGGCACTGAAACGATTTCTTTGGGGTAAACATCCGGATCTGTCTGGGCTTTAAATTTTTTCATGTAATTAGAGCTGAACTAATTTATCTATTTGGCAACTATTTTGTTAATGTATGAATCACTGTAGATCTGATTTTAACTTCTCAAATGCGAGGCTTTGCTGATTTTCGCTGTCATACTGTATATCAAAGTAAAATTAACATCCTTGGGTTTTGGACTGATGTACCAGATACAGAGAATCTGAATATCTTGTTTATTAGACAGTTACAGTGGAGCGAGACAGGAAATGCAGGGAGAGAGTAGGAGAATGACATGCAGCAAATCATGCAGTCAAACCGGAGTCAAACCCGACTTGCTGCTCAGAGCATCTGAGCCCATGTGATATGCGCCCTAACCGTTCGGCTACCACGCCGCCCCATAACGGCGTTTACTTTGAAAAATAAACAGTGGGTACCTCTGTAGGAAGCGAGGGTACGTCTGTCTGTAGGCGAAGCCGGCGCGGCGCACTCTGACGTTCTCCAGCAGCCCGAGGTACTCCACCTGATGGCGGCAGCGCTCCAGCTCGAACAGGAGAGGCGACTTGACATCATTGGGCTTGATGCAGCGAACATAATAGGGCTCCTACAGAGGGCGACAGTGAGTTAACTACTATGAACCTCTATTTAATCTACACTCAACCAGTAAGACTGACCATTCATATAGTCTCATTAATCAACTGTAAAATGGAGGATTTGTGTCTTTTCTTCCAGTTCTACACTGATTATATTTGGATTTTACACTGTTGTTTGTCCAAAACAAGCAATCTGAAGAGACTTTGGATTCTGGGAAACTGCAATATGCATTTTTTTTTACCATTTTCTGGCATTTTATCAACGGAACAATAACTTGATTCATTGAGAAAATACAGTGGCTATCACAGTGTCCCTGGGTTTGGTCTATTTCAATATAAGTCCTCTTCTTGCTCTGCCTTCTCTGATAAAGCCTTTGTATTATTTCAATCCACACAAGCTGTGCAACCTTGGATTTCACGCTAATTAATACCATTTGTGGTCACAATTCTTCCTTTTCACTTTCATAATTCCTTCTGTCAAATTATTATTATTTTTTTTTTTTATCAGTCCTGGCTCCTCACCTTGCAGGCCAGGTTCTCCACCAGTGAGATCATGGAGTTTTTGAAGAGTGTCGCAGCTGTCAGCGGCCGTTTGGTGACCTCCGTGATGCTCAGTTTGCCCTCGGGCCACATCGCCTTCAGTACTGGGTTAGAGCTGGTCAGACACAAGGAAAACATGAAAAGCAGATGTGTATTAGTAGAGGCTAAAATTACAATAACAAAATAACACACAGTTTAATATAATGGCCCTAACAACCAAGTGTAGAGGTGTACCAAAAGGTAACCAAGTGTAGAGGTTTAAGACCAAATTAAATCACACTGTCATTTATTATATGAATGCGCTTGACCTCCAGATGATATAAGACTTGCCCCAGCCATGATGACCTTTAAATCCAGGATAGAAACTCAACTTTAATGAAAAGAAGAGGAAATGTGTTTTAACATGAAAACAAAACAAAAAAAAAAAAAAAGAAATGTGTTCTGTTATTCAATTTGAATGATTCCTGCCTTGAAGCATTTGTATTTCAATGTAAACTCTGGATGCATCATCAACCCAGAAAAGGTGTTTCCATTAGTTCATTCCCAGCAGGCACCGGACGTCAATGTAACGTCAGAAAGACGTTGGACTCTAATGACTCTAACGCTGGACAGATGTTACATTTTGGCCGGAAATGAAAATCAGGTTGACGTCAAAACCCAAAGTTGGCATTGGTCACGACTAGAGCGTTGGTATTTCATATGTCAAGATGATGTTGGCGTGAGACATTTGGAATAGGTTGGATCAACAACACAACTTAAAACCAACAAACATCAGCTGTCTGTCTGTTATTCTACCTCTAATGAACGTTGTTGTTAGACGTTGTACTGACAATGAATTTTGGTCACCGGACGCCACGACCTATGTTCAACCAAATATCAACATCTGACAATGTTGGTGGCCGGCTGCGTGCCTGCGTGTGGACTAAAGAGTATCATAAAACTCAGGTCATGAGACACTTGAGGAATTACTAGACCCCATATTTATATTCTGCAGATGACAAACACCAGAGAACTGAAGTGGAGGAGGAGGAGGACAAGAGCAAACTGAGAGGAGATTAGTTGTACTCGTCCGGTGCTGTTCTTTCCAGAGGAGTGTCATGTAATCAGAATGCTGCAAAGAATACAGTGAAGAGTGTGTGTGTGTGGAGGTGATTGAAGCGGTGTGTGTGTGTGTGTCACCTGTTGTAGAGCAGTATCTTGAAATCCTGGAACAGAGTGTCTTTGTTCTTATCAATAAAACCCACCACTGAGTACCTGTGAAAAGAGAGAGGCAAGTAAATGCACCTGCACACACACACACACACACACACCTACACACACTTTTGTTATGTCCGTGCACACTGCCCTACCTAGTGTCCTTCAACAGTCATGTCATAACCATATGATTACCTCTGCCAGTAGCCCTATAGCCCTGTGTTAATATACACTAAGTTAATGCGTGCTGTTAGAGATGGACGTGCTATAAATAGCAGAGGTGTTATTCTCCATGCTGTGAGATGTGAGGTGCACTCTGCCCCCTGCCTGGTCTAAGTGGCTCTGGGATCAATCAAGCCTGCCAGTCACAGGCCTTGCTGCTCAGCTCAATCGTCCCTTGGGTGCCAGACACTTAGCCCTCATGAACAGGCTCAACACATTTCCCTGAGAGCACTTTTTGGGGGCTTAGCGTGTGTGATTTATTCATTTCATCATCCATGTACTTTACAGACCGGGAAGTGGTGCTGTCATTTTCATGGACATCATGCAATGAAGATGTCAATTGATGTTACACCAGTGTGTGTGTGTGTGTGTGTGTGTGTGTTTGTGTGGATGTGGTTGGGCACAGTTTTCAGTCCTTTAACCTGCAGTAACTGATTTCTTTGGCAGCAGAAACAAGTCGTGAACACAACATTGACTCATCATTAGCTCTGTTTCTGGTTTCTACCAACTCCCGAGGGAAATGTCTGCCTCTCCAAGCTGCTAAATGCTCCACTGTGTTCACCAGTGAACTGTGTGTGTCTGTCCAAAACAGTAAACAGGCCAAAACAATGATCTGAAACTCACTACCTTATTATAATCAAGCTTAAAACAGCGCTCAGGCTAAAATGTCTGAATTGTCCTTTTGTCATGAACTGGTCCGAAAAAGATGAAATAATCTTTCGCAAATTTTTCCTCATTCACATTGATCATGATTCATCCACATTTTTATTTTGAGTAATTTGATGTTTTGCCTCCTTTTTGCAGGAAATGGAATATTGCAATTCAATGTGAAATTGTCAAATGGAGCCTTTTGATACTAGTCAATTTCAGCTCAGACACTTCTGCCTGACTGATGTTTAAATGTCATTAAATTCAGGAAGTGTATTTGCATTTCTCTGGATGTTACACGCCAGCTGCTCCTGTTACACTCACAAACGTGTTACAGCCGTACTTGCTGAAGTAACACTGAAGTTCTGTTTCTCTGATCAAATGTCATTACATGCTCACTGATAATAAACCTTCAAATAATTGTCAAACAGTCAGAAAGAAGAAATATTAAATTCTTTAAACAAACACTGTTGTGATGTGATCATACTCTGGTTGACTGACAGCACTGAAGTTTTGCTTGTGGATGAAAACAACAGAAATCAAAGGTAAGTTTGCGTAAAATTACTTGTATTTGTGCACTAAAATGGAAATTCCTCAAATAATAATGTAATTCTTATTGATAACAATATTTTTGCATTGATTGGTTAAAGGCATTATACTGTATAAACTAAGGGCTCAAAGTAATTGTGCATTCCTGCTCAGAGAGTAACAGGGTCTTGGCAAATATGGAAATACAGAAAACTAGGTTATGAAAGGAATATTTGGTCAGAGAGCGTGAATGAGTTGTGCTCCCACGTCCCCCCAAACAAGACTCAAGTTTCATTTAAAAATCCAAAACCTCCATTTGCTCCCGAGGTGGAGCCAAAGGTACAGGACTGTGGTTTCAGTCGGGCATGAATATGTAAAAATGGACAAATGTGGAAAAAGAGGATGAATCATCGGTAAAAGCTTTTCCTGAATAAATAAAACGTTGAGCTACTTACACCACGTCTCCTGCATAGTGCCTGATGCGAAAGTCTCTGTCGAACTCCAAACTCTTATCAGTGGGTGAGAGCTGCAGAGAGACAGAGAGAGAGAGAGCGGTGAGCGAGCAGCAATGAAGGTTAACTCAGAGCACTGTAGTGAAAGAGCAATGCCTTCAGTCTGTTACCTGGAAAAATATTGACAGTGTCGCTGTTACATTGATGTTTACTTTGCCATCACAGCCAGGATTATTCAAATTCAAAAACCTGCTATCCGACTTTTTGTAAAGTTTTCAAGTCTCAAGTTCTGATGAGCAAATTGAACGTCAATTTCAAGCCGTTCTGGTCTCATTACATAACAAACTAACTCAACAAACAAAATATAACTTTCACTTTTTCAGACCAAATTTTAACATTTTCTCCCCAATGATTTCTGTCTGCTTTTAGTTCTGAATAAATAATGTCCGACCATGAAAGTAAATATGTTCTAAATATGTTCTTCCCTCAAGAAAACATTTGAAAACATTTTCTGGTGAACAGCAGTTTTCCGTTGTTTTCAGATCTGTGATACACACTGCTGTGCAAATAATCATCAACTGGTGTCTGAATGTTTGATGATTATTAAATTTGTGTTAATAGTGTTGTTTACATCATTGAAACCAAGTCTTCTAAATGCATCTAATAGTAAATACATATTGAAGCTGTGTGGCTGTGTACGATCTGCCTGACACTGGACACAATATATTTTCTGCTGTTTCCAGATTTGATCAAACTTGAGGCTTGAATAGTTTTCACTCTGAGTCAAGTTGCACAGCAGTTAACACCGGGTCCTTATATTTTTACACAGAGCAGTACTTAAAAGTGGCTGCACACGCACGCACGCACGCACACACACACACACACACACACACACACACTCTGTTAAGGAGGTTCCTATAAGCTTCACAAATAATCATCATCAGATGTTATTCTGTCATCAATTCTGTATTAGACCTGATTTATATGAGTGTGTGGACATGAAGATATGAAGCTAAAAACATGACATCATTTGTTTTTTCTTATTCTTACATTACACTTACTATAGTATTAATGATAAATAATAAGGATCCACAGCTTCTTAAGACACTAGGTTGGGGGCGCTCATGTCTCTCAGCGTTTTGATGAGTTTTGGAAGCACCTTTTAGGCTGAAGGAAGTTTACATGCAATCTAAGCCCAGGTTAAGTCTACAGTTGAAATTTTTGTGCATTAAGTCTGCTCATTACATAAAAAAAGTTTTAGAGGACACGGTCAAATCAACAGTAGGCAGCAGGTTCCAATCTAATGTGATAAATAAGACTTTCCTCTCTTTTACCTCTCCTAATAAATGTTGACCGCACATCTGGCTGCTTTAGCCTCCCTGAAATTCCAGATCCACATCAAGATAGCTTAGGTAGATTGTCTATCCTTGTAAATGTATGTTCATATTGTCCAGACTCTTAAACAGCCCTTTGTTATACCTCTAAACACGTCAAACCACACAGGTTAAACCACACGATAAGAATGATAAGAATGTTAAAGCTACTGCTACAGCAGATGCAGTGGTGCAGAAAACAGTAATTCTGTCAGGGTGGATAAGTCTTACAGAAAAGAGGAGGGGTGGAAAAAGAGCAAGAGAGTAAGACAGAAAAGAATGTGCAAGACTGAGATAAATAAAATTCAAGCATGGGGGAAAGAGAGAAGGTGAGACAGGCACTGAGGAAGAAGAGGAAGAGAAGTGAATACGATGTGATAGAAAGAGACAGTGCAAGCAAAAAGAGAGAGCAAAAGTGTGTGTGTGTGTGTGTGTGATACTGATGCCTGTATGTAGGCCAGTTTGCAGGAGAGCACAGAGGGAGGAAGCATGAATGGAAACGCAGAGGTCTGCCGCAGCCATGCAAAAGCTTCTGATGAGTGGGATGAGGCTTCTTGTTTCATCTGCGACTGCAAAGCAGCCAGTGACAAGTGAGCTTCTGAAGTAGAGCAAAGTTGCATGTGTGTGCACGTGTGTGTGTGTGTGTGCATGTGTGTGTGTGTGTGTGTGTGTGTGTGTGTGATTCACTAAAGGTATTATGCTGACATCAGAGATTAGAGGGAGACAGGAGTGAAGAGAGGTATCCTGCGCTCTCATCACAATCCCAACAGGAGCAGAAGAACAGGAAGCAGAAAGATTAAAACTACAAGTAACAAGGAGGAGAAAAAAACTCTGTAAGCCCCACGGGACAGATGTCAAGAAAGTAAGACAGATACAGAATTAAGGAGTATAGCCAGAAAGAAATGTGGACAACCCTGACTGCAAATTTTTTTTGTCTATGATTTATGTAAATTAATGTGATTTAATGGTCAGTTACGTGCCAGAACTATTTCTTGAGGAACAACAGTTTATCCAGCTGCCCAGGACTAGTACAGGTTTTGGTTTCTGTACAGACACGATGTTAGAACACCTGACAACTTCACTGGGATGAAAAGATTCCCTCATGCTGCACACATCAACTACATCCGGCTGTAGTTCGATAAGGCTGTTGAGAAAGTAACTCAATCACAAATTTTTGTTATTTACTTTTCAGTTTGTGTGGATTAAACACACTAAATACTACATATTTATTAGTGAGCTTTAGAGGTGTTGGGCAGAATAATGCCAGCTGTTTCCAGCTGTTTCCACTTGTTTCTAGGGGGAATTTTCAGTAGATCGATTTTAAATTAATTGCAAATGTGTGTTCCAGCTTTTTAAACGCAAATATTCTCTAGGTTTCTTACACTTTCCTTCTCTTACAATTATATTAAACAGAATATCTTCTTTTAGGACATCAACATCGGGACTGGGATGCTGTGATGAACTTTTTCTATGCTACTTGCTGACAGTTGAGAAGACAATCAGTAGATGAATCAATAACAAAAATAACTCGTATTCTCAGCCCTACATGGGATCGATACTGTATCAATCTCCTCATTTCACTCACAGAAATGAACTGAATAATCGTATTTCCCAAAAACACGTTGCACTCATTTAATTACTTCATTTTGTATCCCTGTGTCTGCTTGGTCCTCTCCTATATACATTTTATTGTGTTGATTGTTTGTTCAATTTGTCAGATTGCACAAATAAATAAATAAAAGACAAACTAAGCAGTGCTGTGGAGGAACAGGAGGAAAAACAAACAACTAACAAATAAAACTTTCGGAGCCTCACTGAAACATCCTACCTAGACTCCACTTCTCTCAGCTAAGCCAATACTGTATGTTCCATTACTTTGGATCTTTAAGAAAATATTGTATGACTCATTGAAAGGCTCAGTGCTCTCAGGCACTGAGACACACACACGCACGCACACACAGACACACACACACACACAAACTCTCAGACAATCAAACAGACAGTGAAAGAAGGAGCATCCTGTATGAGGGAAGATACTGCAAACACACACACACACACACACACACACACACACACAAAAAAAATCTCACAGACACAGAGAGATTTACATCAGGGAGCTGAATGAATCAGTCAACCTTGAATCAAGTCCAGCACCCGAATCAAAACCACAAAGGGCCCCAGAGTAAATCTCTGACAGATCCAAGTGAAAATCCTCAGTGAAATCATAAAACTATTTACCTCCCTGGCACTTTAGAAATCTGCTGAAGCATTGAAGAGCCTCCAATAATACACTCCTCTGAAGTTTTTACTGCCAACTGCAGTGTGCCCGGCAAACAAAGGGAAGGGAACATTATAAAGAAAGATTATTTAATGCACATAGTTAGCAACACTTTCTGAAAATACCACACCGCATCATTTAGAGGCTCCAATGCCTTTTCAATAAGCTCTTAATGCTCGAGATCTTAATTTTAATCCTGTCTGGACTCTCCCGATGGGCAGCACAAACCAAACTCTTCCAGCTGTCTAAAGTCTAGCACATAATCTATTTGGAAATACAAAACACACACTTTTCAGGGGGTAAATAGTACTAACACATACATGAGTGCACGCTAACGCTAAAACAGACACACACACACACAGACAGACAAACAGATGCACTATCAGACAGACAGCCTGCATCTGCTGGAAGCCACACTGTCCCTCATCCATCACAATCAGTTACACTCCATCACACACACACAAACAAACATTCACTACGCACACACGCAAACCAGACACACATCTTGGCAGCTTTATTATTAGCACCTCCTCTGTGCTTGGGATGCAGCCTAATGTTAAGAGCGAGGGCGTGACGGTGGCAGTGGTGGTGTGTGTGTGTGTGTGTGTGTGTGTGTGTGTGTGTGTGTGTGTGTGTGTGTGTTGTTGTGTGTGTGTGTGTGGTTCTCATGGTCATGTGTGTGTGTGTGTGTGTGTGTTCATGGAGAGGGAGGGCAAACTAATAGAAACAAAACAAGGTCAGAATAATGAGAAGAGGAAGTGAAGACAGGAATGTGAGCGTGAACCAACAGATGAGAGAAACACTAACATTCAGAAGAATGTATCACAACTATTCATCATTTATTCCTTAAACATATTAAAACCTACAGCATGGACACAGTTGTTTTAGTGCTAAAACAATTAGTCTATTAATATCAGAAATTTGACTGGTAAAAATTTCAATAATTGATAATCATTTAAGTCATTTATTGATTGATACTTATTGATCGTTTATTTACTGGTTACAGCTTTGCAAATGTGAGGTTTTGTTGCTTTTCTCTGTTTTTAATCATTGTAAATAAATATATTTTGGTTTTGAATAGTTGGTTGGACAAACCAAGAAATTTGAAAATATCAGTTTCGACCACCGAACTGTAATGGCCAGTTTTCACTTTTTTTAATACATTTTATAGACAGATTGTGCAAAGAAGAGACTAATCTGAAAATTATCAACATTGCCAAAAGACTATTCCATTTGTATAAGTCATAATTATCAAAGTGTTTAAGTAACGTTTACAAGTTTTCTGTTTTTTAAAGAAATGAAAAGGAAAAACATATTAAATAAAAATTGTGATTTACAGAAATTTAACTTAATGGTGGCAAATCAAACAGTCCAACATCAGCAACTAAAATCTGTGCAGGGAGAGAAACCTGTGAATTGCTTT